AAGTGCACTGGCGTGGCCACATTAGCAGCTCTTGCAACGCCACAAAGAGCAGTGCATTGTGGTTGCTAGCCCAGTGTGCAAGTGGCTGCAGCGTGCTTTTCAAATGGGGGTGGGGGAGGTGGAGTGTGACAGTAGGGTTACCATATTTCAATACTGCAAAAAGAGGACACTCCACGGGGCCTCGGCCCCGCCCCAACTCCGCCCCTTCACCAAAGTCCCCGCCCCCACCCCCCCCCCCCCCCCTGGGCCCCCCGCATTCCCCCTCCTCCCTCCCCCCCCCCCGGCTGCTGCTGCGCTGGGGAAGTGGCTTCGGCCCCCGCCGTGGTGGAGAGCGGCGGGAGCCGGGAAAGTTGGATCCTGGGGAGGAGGCGGCTGCGTGCTCGGATGCCGCCCGCCACCTCTGTGCCCCTGCAGATTGGGAGAGTTGTTAGTTTTGCTGCAGCCACTCCACTCGCACTCGGGGTCCCCCGAGTGTCTTTTGCCCGAGTGCGAGTGGCTGCAGCAAAACTAACAACTCCCCTGATCTGCGGAGGCACAGAGGCGGCGGGTGGCATCCAAGCGCACAGCCACCTCCTCCCCGGGCTCCGGCTGCTGCTGCGCTAGGGAAGTTGCTTCGGCCCTGGCATGCAGTGGAGAGCGGCGGGAGCCGGGAAAGTTGGAGCCCGGGGAGGAGGCAGTCCCCTTTCCATGCCTCCCTATTTTCCTGGACATGTTTGGCTTTTTGGAAATTCCTCCAGGACGGGGATTTGAGGACCAAAAAGCCGGACATGTCTGGGAAAATCCGGATGTATGGTAACCCTATGTGACAGGGAGTGTGTTGTGTGTCTGTGGGGGGAGAGACAGTGTGTTTTGGGGGGCAAAGAGCGTGTCAGCATGCTGTCTTGTAAGTTCAGACAGCAGCAGAGCCTCCCTTCCCCCCACCTCTCTCTCTCACACACACTCTCAGCAGCAGCATTCCACAGTAATGGTTACTTCGTCCCAGAGCAGATAAGCATGCCGGCTGTCAGAAACAGAGCTTTGAAAGGGGATATCCACATGCCTGCAGCCAAGTTCAAAACAATGCCAAGAATGGTGACTTGACTTGAGGGGATTATGGGATGTTTCCGGAGGCCAATCACAGCGCTGTAATGCAACATGTTGTCCACACTGACACCTGGGCATTTCAGCCAGGGCGCAGCAAGCTCTATGCTTCTTGTGGAAGTGAATTACTAGGAGCGCTCCAGCTGCATAGTCCAGGTGCTCTACGTTCCTTGCCAATGTGGACACCTCAGGAGTTAGGGCGCCCAGGGCTGATTTAATGCGCTCTAACTTGGAAGCGTAGCCAAGGCCTTAGTGACAAAAGCAGATGTGGGGCTGGGAATCAAATAGGGAGGGGGCAGATGGTGATGGAGCAAAAGAGGGAAGCAAATCTTTAAGGAGGAAAAAAACAAGCAACTATAAAATCAACTATAAACAAAGTGAACATAGCACAGTGAGAGCGGGAGCCAGCTGGCCTACTCTTAAAGAATAGAATGTTACAGGCAAGTCGCATCTTAGGCGCATTTAACATGCACGAATTCAGCTTTGCGCGGTCGGCAAAAACGGGAAAAAAGAAAAAAAAAACAATATAAAAACTGCATCTGTAGTGCGGGCGATTCTGCCCGCCGTTGAACTCAATGAGTGTTTCACTATACGCGTTTTCACTTTACGCACTAACCACGGAATGGAACCCCCGCGTAAGATGAGACTTGCCTGTACTTAGTTTTCTCAAGCTGGCTTCTCTTGAAGATGGGCACACTCGTGCCATCAGAGGAAAGCTCAGCAGTAGGCATTTGACTTTTCGCAGGACTGAAGGAGCACTTTGCATGAGGACTATCCACTTGAGAAATGTTCTATTAGAACATCACTAACCAATGGGAGAATCTTTGCAAGCGACTGATGGAATTTTGAAAATGTTTCGATGACCTAATTTAGGTGAAAAAGGCAACTGTTACTTCTTGAAAATATTCTTTGGCTTCCTGAGGAGGATCAGCTGCAACAGTCCCTGCATTTTTGTGTTGCATACACTGTATTAGTAAAAGCTTGTCTACACTTACTGCGCTGCAGTGGTGCAGGTGCACCATCTGTAGCACATAGTGAAGACACTACCTACGCCAACGGGAGAGCTTCTCTCATCAATGTAGGTACTCTACCTTCCCAAGATGCAGTAGCTGTGTCAGTGGGAGAAGCCTTCCCATCAACATAGCACTGTCTACCCAGGGAATTCAGTCAGTCTAACCCCATAGCTGAGAGGTGTGGATTTTCCAGCACCCCAGAGCGACATAGTTATACCAACATAAATTTGTAGTGTAGACTGGGGCTAAGAGGCAGATTGCAAATTGCAGCAGACCTTTGGGTTTCAGACTGATTGCGATATATGTTAGAGCTTTTCTATATTACCGGCTGGATCGACAGGTAGCGATCAATCCAGCGGGGGTTGATTTATCGCATCTAGTCTAGATGCAATAAATCGACTGCTGAGTGCTCTCCCATCGACTCTGGTACTCCACCAGGGTGAGAGGCGCAGGCGGAGTCGACGGTGGAGCATCAGTCATCCACTTACCGCAGTGAAGATACCGCAGTAAGTAGATCTAAATACATCGACTTCAGCTACGTTATTCATGTAGCTGAAGTTGCGTAACTTAGATCGATTCCCCCCGCCCCAAGTGTAGACCAGACCTAAATGTGGTTTCACTGTATTTTCAGAATTGACAACTGTTTTTAAATGATGGAGGAACTCAAGTCCTCCATAATTTAAGTTATCTCAAGTTATCTCAAGTCAATATTTCAAAAGCTCATAAGTGACTTAGAAGCCTAAGTCCTATAGACTTTCAGTGAGACTTGGGAGCCTCAATCACATTTGAAAATGGGACTTAGGAACCTCCCAGCTTTTGGATAATGAACTTTTTGGTGGAAAAGCTTCCTCTAGCTTTGGTCTGATTATGATCATGATTTAAGCTCACCTCTGAGGAATAGTGGGGGCAGTTTAGCCAAAATTAGGCGGTTCATTATTTACAGTTTTGGACATGATCAGTAACTATTTATATTTACATTTTTAAAACATTCTGCTCTCTTAATGTCATGCCAGTTCACTTATACGTGTGCTTCAGGTTTCTCCATTACCTATAATTGGTATATACCACCTCTGTGAGTAGCACTAAGTGAGCAATTTGTAGCAAGTACCGTATTGAATACAGTAACTCCTCACTTAACATCCTCCCGCTTAACGTTGTTTCAAAGTTACGTCGCTGCTCAATTAGGGAACATGCTCATTTAAAGTTGTGGAATGCCCCCTTATAACGTCGTTTGGCTGCCTGCTCTGTCCACTGCTTGTAAGATTCTGTGGGAGAGCAGCGACTTTACAAGGGAGCATTGCACAAGTTCCTCTTCTCCGCCTCCTCCCCCTCCCGCCCAGTGCTCCCCCCACTGCCAAACAGCTGTTTGGCAGCACTTAGGACTTTCTGGGAGGGAGGGGGAAGTGCAGAGAAGCGTTGTGTCTCCGCTCCTCCCCCGCCCTCCCAGAAAGTCTTAAGCTTAGGACTTTGGGAGGGAGGGGGAGGAAGGAGAGGGGATGCGGTGTGCTCCGGAGAGGAGGTGGAGTGGGGGTAGGAAGAGGTGGGCCTGGAATGGAGCGAGGTGGGCCTGGAGCATCCTGGGCAAAGTCGGCGCCTGTTCTTCTCCAGGGAAGCTGCCACTGCTGCTGCGAAGGTGCTTCCTAGTGTCCTTGCCTGCAGTGGGCTGTGCCTGTATGGGGTAAGCCAGGGGCACTTCCCAACCACAGTACAGTACAGTACTGTACAGTATATAATGCCTTTTGTCTGCCCAAAAAAATTTCCTTGGAACCTAACCCCCCGCATTTACATTAAATCTTATGGGAAAATTGGATTCATTTAACATCGTTTCACTTAAAGTTGCATTTTTCAGGAACATAACTACAACGTTAAGTGAGGAGTTACTGTACAAACTCCCATGAAAATTCTCAATGCCAACAACTTATCATCTTACATACCTCCTAAAGCCTATCTTTGGATGTGTACGAATCACTCCCACTAGCTAAGATGACAAACACCTGTGACTACTTTGATCTCTGTGACTTACACAGTTTATGCAACTGCACCTGAGCTATTTTGAGCACAGGCCATCCTTGTTACTTGCTTAGTATAATGGGACCCTAACCTCTCATTGGGGTCCTTAAATGCTACTGCAATAGCAATAATAAATAATAATTCAGTAAGTCAGTTGTCTGTCAGCAGCTTGAGATTTTCTTGAATTTATGTGGTTTTCAATATTTGCTGGATAATTTCAACAGTTGACTCTTGCTCTGTGAATTGGTCACAAACAGATCATTAGGAGCACTCTGCATCTGAAACTTTAAAGTGTGTTTAGTGATGTGACTAAGAGATCGGTTTGTTACAGTTTCTCTTCCCAGACTGGCTAAATAACTTTCAGCATCAAGTGTTGAGTGTAAGTACAGTATTTATGTTTGAGTTCAGCATTCACTTTCTGCAAACTAATCTAAGCTTCACATTTGCAGCAAAGTTGATGCCAAAATCCCATTCAATACAATGAACAAGGAAAGTGAGTACAAAGTGCATGCCATTTCCTTAATTGAGCAAATTGTGTAGATAACATTTAGCTTCAAGTGAGAGCTACCTTTGTTCTCACGGGTATGCTTTTAGTGGCTTGATTTGTTTTTCTCTTCTACGATTAGTTTTTAAGCAGTCACTTTTCACACTCCCCCTAGCCCCCAAATCAAAACTAAAGCAAATGGCATTTACGAGAAATTGGAGATTGGCATGTTGTTGCTTTTTAATCTCCCCCAGCACATTGCCACGTACAGCAGAAACTTTCACGTCTCACTCCCTGTTTTCTAGACACACACCACTCCTGAAGCTGGTGTAAAAAGATCAATATAAGCTCATTTCTCAGATGCGGCACCGATAGTTCCCCCCTCCCCCATATATTGAAAAGAACCAACTTACGTGTCTGGATTTTCTTGATACTTTGCTTAAGCGGGCTGAAAATCGAATGCAGTACTGGAACCAACTCCCTGCATTAAATGAGGAAGTGCTGATACAAGGCAGGATGTTTGAGGGAATGACTCACATATGTAGCATAGTGGGTCTTGACTACCGGTGGAATGAAAGGAATAATCACACTAACTACAGCTTGCTTCACTGAAGTTAGTGGTGAAGTACCATCTAATAAATGATCAGCAACATTTGATCTTCCATCTTTATCACCTCCCTGTTTGGCCAAACATTATGCTGTAAATGTCACAGAGCATTATGTATTGATCCAAAATCTTACAGTGATTTTTGTGAATATATTTAGAGGATTTTTAAAACATGGGTTAGCTATAAACTGCAAAGGCTAGTTATTGCACTGGCCTTTCTTGATCTTTTAGCATATTATCTTTTAAATATGGGAGTTGGAGTGAGGAAGTGGAACAAAGCGAATGGATGAGGATAAGACTGAGACACGCTATTACTGGGGGTATTTAATAATGTGTCTCAATGACTTTCTTATTATAAGCTGTCAATTGCCATGTAATGTTCAGGTATCATAGTCCTTTTCAGAATTAGGATACAGTAGAACCTCAGAGTTACGAACACCTCGGGAATGTAGGTTGTTCGTAACTCTGAACAAAACATTACAGCTGTTCTTTCAAAGGTTTACAACTTAACATTGGCTTAATACAGCTTTGCAACTTTACTATGCAGAGAAAAATGCTGCTTTTAACCATCTTAATTTAACAAGCACAGAAACAATTTCCTTGCCTGGTCAAATCTTTTTATCTTTTTTTTTTAAGCGTTCCCTTTATATTTTTAGTAGTTTGTTTAACACAGTACTGTACTGTGTTTGCCTTTTATTTTTGGTCTTTGCTGCTGCCCGATTGTGTACTTCTGGTTCCAAATGAGGTGTGTGGTTGACCAGTCAGTTCGTAACTCTGGTGTTCATAACTCTGAGGTTCTACTGTACCCATGCTCTCTTACAATAAAATCAGACTCCTTTTTGTTAAATCTACCATCTGACTGATAGGAAGCACTTTTCCCCATGAAAACACTGCATGAAAACATTTATGAACTACTTTTAACATTTCTGAAAGAATTACTTTACTTGAGCTAATATACGGCATCTTGTCTGTGGTATCTGTTCGGAGGAGAAATTGATGCTGAAAGTATTTCTCTGGGGCAGTTCTGTTTATTTACATAGCATGTACGATGTCTTGTTTAATTAAAAACATATAAGAGGCAATTTCCTTATCATAATTTCCAAGCCTGCCTTTCTGGCCAGTACTCTGTCCAACAAAAGAAACTCTCTTGGCTTCCACTCAAAGCCACATTCATACACACTCTCTCTCTCTCATTGTCTGCTCGCTTTCTGGTTCCTTTCTGCTTCTGACACACACAGCTCTACCAATCAATGCCCCAGCCCCTACATTTTCAGTCATTCCCAGGGAAAAACCTTTTATTATCCCTGAGTTTGAGCTTTCTTAGGCCTTCCCATGTGGCTCAGTGCCTTGGGTGGTGGCTTCCATTGTCTCCAGCTATCTTATACTAAAAAGGACTTTAATTGCTCCTTCCATTTAGTCTGATTTAAAAGCGACTAGCATGCCTATCAGCTTCAGTGAGGTCTGTGATTGCCCACAGATCAATGGCATGCTTCCTATGAGCCACCAATACCCTCCAGCACACTTACATTAGTGGTAGCAGGCATTCTTGACATCTACTTGACACTGGGACACTCAGTGTCTCAATCTATTAGATCAGCATTTGCCCTTCTCTCACTCTATATGCGGAATGACCCTAGTTGATGCTGTGTCCCAAGCCCTACCCATAATCTTCCCCAGACTCTCATTTCCTGGCTACCCGTTCCCAGCTCACCTAAATTAACCTTGCTCTCTTTGATCCCCCCTTCTCTTGCACAACAAACTATAGCTGTGAATTTATCCATTATTTATTATTCTATGTATTTGTATATTATTTGTTTAGAAATAGCGTAAGCCTCAGCATATTTATGCAATAAAAACACGATTAAAAAAAGCATGGCTCTTGTAGACAACAAGCAGCACTAAAGACAATCCATTTTCATCCATTTCAACTTCTCCATAAAACTCAGAAACACTTCCTTCGTATCCAGCCTATCCATGAGTAAATTCTTGGGTTGACAGATGAGTATTGCAAATGCAGGCTCACACTAACCAATACCATTTCAGAGCTCAGAATTAGAGCATCTTGGAAAATAGGGCAGGGGAAGGTCAGTGAAAAATATTGACTTTTTGTTGAAAAATCCAAAAAAAAAAAAAGTTGGCTTTTGGCTGACCACTTCAGGGTAGGTCGGGGAGTGTGTGTGCATGCGCATGTTTTTACAAAAGGTAGAAATTTTCCATGTGGAGAATAATACCTTTTTTTCTGACCAGCTTCAATCACGAGCCCCTTTTCCACACTGGGTCCCCGCTGGGACTCCCCTCCCATCTAGATGAGATCTAGCCAAGACCCTGCCTCTTCCCCCTCCCCCCCCCACCTCACACTTATTAATATGGAAAGGGCAGTGCTGTTGTGACCTCTTGCCCTTGACATCTGTTTGTGACCTCCAAGCTGAGAACCCCCGAGGCAGCTCATCCTGTTCAGTGAGAAACTGTCACCTTGGTTTCTGAGCAAGCAGCCCATACTCAGCAGGTTGCCCACCACTCTGAACACCTTCACTCATCTAGATTTGTGTAGATTTTGTAGTACAGGGAAAGAGAATTTAGTGTCCATCACAGCTGCAGCATAGGTCTGCAACTATGCTTCTCCCACCATCAGGCACTTAGTCTCCTACCAATGTTCTATCCTCTTTGGTAGTCAGATTGCCTGGCCAGTGCCAGCTCATCTGTATATCAAGGTAACCTGTGAGGATGGAGATCCTCCTTTTGGAGGGGAATGGCACGTGACAAGGGTAAAGAATCAGAGTAGGTTTTTTTCTAAATCTGTACAAGAAAGCTTATTCGACTAAATAAAACAGAATTATCCCTACAATTTTCTCTGTCTCTGAGCTTCACTGTAGACTTCTGCCTCAAAATCTCCCTCATCTCCCTTCTGCTTGGCTTCCTGCCACACTTTTAAAGAAATGATACTTACATCATTATAGAAGGTATTTAGGAAACTGAGTCCTAACATTCAGTGAGTTGCCTACATCCTCCTGCAAATGGCCATGCAGACTGGTTACTCTTTCTTGGAGAAGTCACGCAAGGCTGCCCAGAAAGGGGCTCTGCTATAATTTTGCTGCTTTCTTTAGTTAGAACTCCAAAGGCTTGGCTTGGTTCCCCCAAAATTGTTTACATCTTTTAAATCCTTCTGCTTATTACTTCTTCTACAGTTTCAATATGCTTTACAAGTTCATATTGGCCTCTTTCCCAGTTTACACTGAAGTTGGAAGAATATAAATTAGGATCTCTCCAGCTGTTTCTTAAATGCCTTGATTCCAGAAATTAAAAAACTCTTGGAGACCCACACAAAGCTACTCCAAATAATGGAAGCTTACTATTTTCTAAAGATAACACAAGCCTCTGTTTGGCCAGGGGAGGGTGGGAAGATGATCTGGATAATCAAGTTGCCCTATTATTACAACAATGTATTTTAAAAAAATGGATGTGACTGAATATTGCTTCAAAGGGTTTGTCTACACTGGAGCTGGAAGGTGTAAATTCCAGCTCAAGGAGACATACCTGCACGAGCTAGTGTGCTAAAAACCAGAAGTGTCGCTGCAGCAGCATGAGTGGCGGGAGGAACTAGCTTCCCCAAGTACATAGGTATGGGGTTGAAATTGGTGCAGCCCCTCATGGCACTGTGGCTACGCTTCTATTTTTAGCGCACTAGTGCTATCAGAGCTAGCATAGGTATGTCTCCTTGAGCTGGAATTTACAGCTGTCAGCTCCAGTGTAAAGACATACCCTTAGGGTGGATAGAAATCCAGTATGATTCCCCACTTTCAGCAGTGATATCCGATAGTCACATGTCTGACTTTCTAACTAGAAAGGGGAACACGTCAAGATTGTGCCCTTTCTCCTCCCCCTGTGCCCTATTCATGGAATCCCGGCAATGATGCCGAGACATTATCTAACCAAGGACACATCTCTTCTATCAGGCAGATAGAATTTAAGAGCACTTTAGCTGCAGCTGGTATTCTCCTCCTCCTCCCTAATCCATCAAAATCAGTTCTGTGCTGGACATAATGGGTCCCTTTGACATTGCAGCAGGATCCTGCATCAAAGTGAATCACGTGTGAGGCCAGATCCTGCATTCTAGGTGAAATTCTTCCCCAGCCAGAGGGTCAGCACAAGCCTAAGCTCATTAAATTCTGAGGATGTAAGTGGGGTTGAAGTGGTGCTTAGATCTGTGAGGACCTTCTGCACTGGGGTGAATTTTGCACCCCTTTCCCACCTCACACTTCCTTTGGAGTTAGTGGGAGTGACAGGATGGTAGAAGATCCAGTCCTTAAAGGATATAGTGCAAAGACCAGAGTGACCTCAGAATCAGTGTTTTGCTTTTCATATATGTTGGGAAACCACTCTATCAAACGTGTGGGCAGAGCTTTCCAGATGGACTCATTAGAATTTTGATTACACACTATGACCAATAAAGATCTAGAAATATGACTGTACCTTTGTGACTGCTGAGTAGGGTGAAAATTGCCAAAAAGAACATGGAATTATTATAGATTGCACCTCTTTCTACCCCTCCCTTTTAAGACTTACAGATAGGTGAACCAAAACAATCAGGTTCTTTATATGGGGAAAGAAACAATCCTACTTCATAAGGCTGTGTGAAGGAATGGCCTTACCAAATCTATAGGTCTACCACTTGGCTTGCCATACTTAACTTCTCTGAAATGGTTTGCTTTTGGTAAAGCTAGTTATGCCTCAGTCTGGATAAGGATAGAAAGGTTATTTATCTCAGCATGTTGACCACTATGAGCGCTTCTCTGTTTAATATAGCTGCCAACTTGTCTGCATCAGAACCCAGCTTTCACCGCAATCTTAGGTAACTCTAGCATATTGGGACTATGACCAAGTGCAATTCACC